AAAACTCCATGAGCTCAACTACAAAGGCTCTCAAAAGCAAAGGGATGAGAGATACTTCTTCCAACAGGCTGCTGAAGGGCTGAGGGAGAAAAAAAAATGATCACTCTATGTCTCTCCAAGATGAAACTCCTGGATCTCAAGGTTGTAATTGCATTAATATTTGATAATTAATCACAAAAGCAGATTGTACCCCAATGCACAAATTAGTCTGATATGATTTATAAATTAATGTCTTCCCCCAACACTACTCTGTCACAAATTGGGGGGGTTCTTTGATGAAATTGTCTTATTTTACTGCATGAAGGTTGGAACAGTTTTCCAAAGGAACTTAACTAAAGGAACACAAGCCTGGTGCTTCCTTTCCCCACTGCTAATCTCACTCCGCTAATATTTGCAGAGGTCGCACACCAGATACGACCTTGGAGCTCAAAGCTCCGCTTTAGGGAAGTCAAATTTAGCTCCTGACTTTTTCTTTCTTAACCCACCATGAACTACTTGTGCTGACCAGCTACAGAGTTTTATTTAAAAGAAGAAACCCTGGTACTGGGTTGTACTTTTGCTGATATCCTTCTCTTCAGTCTCACTAATGACAGGCTTCTAAGAAATCAAATTTGGTTTTTTAACAGAATTTCACATGGTCCAACATTTCAGCCACAATTCTGATTTATGCAATGAAAGCATGAAAATAGTTTTATGTATTTTAGCTAGGGAAAAGCAAATAAGAGGCCAAGCTAGAATTATAATCATCTTTTGCCATTCTGTAGGGAAATTCCCCCTCCTCTCCTCAACTCCAAAACACACCTTTGACCCTGCTTTCTCTAATAAATCACCTGCACAGCTGAACTCAGAGCAAGAGCACAACTCTGTAAATGCTCCTGCATGCAGGACACTGCTGAAACCCCCCCCAGATTTCACCTGTTTGGGGGTGAAGCCTTGTTTTTCCTAAACAGAAAGAAAACCCTACAGAGAAATAGTCAATCACAGTTTGAGAAAAGCCTAAATTGAAGTGCTCAAATGCCACCTTTAAGTCTTAAAACTAAAGTCTTTCCTTAACCAAACTATTCCCTGGATCCTGAACGAAAATAAAGACCATAAGAATTAGAACTCTGGATTTCCAGGGCGCATTTTTCAGCTGCTGGTACAATTCTTTCCCACCCTGTGTTTTCCATATTAATGTTTATATTTTGGGGACTGGGCTCTGAGATTCATTTTACCTCGAATGGGGTCCTTCAAGGTCACTGTCACACACATCACGTGTGTGTGACAGCCAAACCACGCCAACCTATCCACGAGGAGATTCCCAGCTCAAGGAAGAAGCAAAGGGCATGTACCTTTGCTTTCAAATGAACACAACAGGCATCAAGAGCCTAAGAAGCCTAAAGTCACCTAATATTACACAAAAACATGTTAAAGCGTCTCCCCAAGGGCCCGAATTTGTCAGTTTTCCCTGTTAACGAGCACAGAAGAAAAACATGTATGAAGAAAAACATTAATTTACTGAAAATTTGGCAGTGAGGAGGAGCCCAGGGATTACAAAGGGAAGGTTTTGCAGCAACACAAACCCCCGAGGCCACCCTGAAGGCCAAGGGGTCACAGCAGTGTTAAGTGGGGTGTTTGTAACATAAGACCTTGGAAAAGAAGAACTTGGATGGCCACGAGCAGAGGGGGTTCAGCAGCACAAAGGAACAGCGAGCAAAGACTTTTAGTGGATTTAAAAATAACAAAAAAACAAGGGTTTCAAGAAGCACCTAAAAAATCCCTATGCTTATTACTTAAGCGCAGCAAAACGCTCCCTTAAGGCAGCTGTTTAACTCACACGTGCCGCAGCAGAGGCACACACAGGTCCCACGCATTATTAGTGCCTGCTAATTAGCTATTAATTGCAATGCAGAGGTTAATTAGCTATTAATTGCGATGCA